GGGGTTAAAACCCCTTCAGCAGCTTACCTTTTTCCAGCGCTGGGCACTCTCGGCGCTGGTGACCTCTCCTCCCCGGCTGACGTCAGCTCCCTCTGCCGACGTCAGCGGAGCCGAATGCGCATGCGCGGCAAGCGCCCCGCGCGCATTCAAGCTGTCAATAGGAAAGCATTTTTCAATGCTTTCCTATGGACGCTCTGTGTGATAGAGGCATAATATGCCTCCAGCGTCCCAGATGCACCTCTAGTGGCTGTCTCTAAACTGCTATGTTTGCATCTGCAGGGTTAAAACCTGAGGGACATTGCACCCAGACCACTTCATTGAGCTGAAGTGGTCTGGGTGACTATAATGTCCCTTTAAGTTAGATGAAGTTGTTATGAAGTCTATACTGTACCTTTAAGGCCAGAGTAGCTGAACTAGAAGCATATCTGCCTTTGAGAATTTTTCCAGTTTGGCAACTTTATCCATAAATTAGAAATTTCACTGTGAGTTCCAAACAATTCTCACTTTAGTATATAATCCTTAAATTGAGAATTGTCAAGATTTTAAATAGAATTTTTAATTCTAAAACAAAATAGCTGTACTGGAAAAAGAGATTGGGGTATTCTTGTGTTCAATACATTTTTATTGAGGGTTAGCAATCTAGAAAATGGAGATAGGATGGAAAGGAGATGGGCTTTAGCTCAGAACAAAGGGGGTGCAGATGGGGGGAGGGGAAAGCTCAGAACAGAGGAGGTAATATCGATAATTCACAAAAAGTACAAAAGACTCATGATAATATTAAATGTATGCTTACTAATGCAAGGAGCCTATATAACAAAATGGGGGAACTAGAGGCAATAGCATACACTAAACAATATGATATAATAGGCATAAGAGAAACATGGTGGGATGAGACACATGACTGGGCAGTTAATTTAAATGGGTACATGTTATTTAGGAAGGATAGGAGAAACAAGAAGGGTGGTGGGGTATGTTTATATGTCAACCATGAGTTAAAGTCAAATCTTAGGCATGTGGAGTGTGACGAGGAAAATGTGGAGGCTTTATGGGTAGATATCTGCTTGGGGCAAACAAAGGGAAATCAATTATTGGTTGGGATATGTTATAAACCACCTAATGTAAATATTAATGAGGAAGAACAGCTGTTAGAGCAAATTGAGAAAGCTGCAAATCGAGGTAACACGTTAATTATTGGAGATTTTAATTACCCAGACATAAATTGGGATAGAGTGACTAGTACTTCAGCAAGAGGAATCAGGTTTTTGAATGTGTTAAATGACACCTTTATGTCACAACTGGTACAAGCACCAACTAGAAAGGATGCTTGTCTGGATCTCGTCATAACAAGCAATGTTGATCTTTTAACCAACATTCAAGTAAGGGAGCATTTGGGAAATAGTGATCACAATATGGTAAATTTTAAAATAAACTCAAAAAAGCTAAAGCAATTTCAATAAGATTAGGGCAGCTCTACAACATAGTACAATACAATATACACACTACTAAAGATAGTAACTGTAGTGAAATGTATACAAATACTTAACTTAATTATTGCAGCCTCCCAAGATCGTTACCCAAAGAAGACGACCTTTTATACATAGATAACCACAAGCAACACAAAACTTTGGGATACGGCTGAAAATTAGTCTAAAATGAACATAAGAATATACAAAATAGTGAAATACAATTAACACATTTTTATGCGCTGAATACAGATGCACTCACAGAATTGGGTAGAATACATCGCTCATAGGATGCCGCCCCTGGTTGAAATGTGGGGTTGGTAGTCCCTTGGCTCCTTGTAGGCTTCCTTAATAAGGCTCAGGACTCCAAACGGGCAATGGTAGAAAAAGATGTATTTATTGATAAAAAGTGAATAATCACCATCAATATAAAGTATGATAAAAGAAAAAACGGTATGGTCCTACGCGTTTCGTTCTACAAAGAACTTCATCAGGGACCGTATATGAAAATAAAATAAAATCAATATACAATTACAGCATATAAAAAAACATCCTATTCCCCCCATCCCTGAGTCCTCTTTAAATAGGGCTAATCCCAATGTCCATTGGTGGTTCCGTGGGTGGTATCCAGTATCCGTTGCAGCTCTAGAACATATAAACTGGCACAAACTCCTTAGTGATAACAACACTGAGGATAAATGGAAACTATTCAAACAAATATGAGAAAGGTACATTTCTCAGTATGTACCATTGGGTAAAAATATAAAAGAAACAAATTAAAACCAATGTGGCATAGTAGAGAAGTAAAACAAGAGATTAAAAATAAAAAAAGGAAATTTAAAGCATTTAAATCAGACAAATCAGAGGCATCCTATTTAAGATATAAGGAAGCCAATAACGCTTGCAAAAAGACAATTAAAGTGGCTAAACTAGAAAATGAGACATTGATAGATAAAGAATCCAAAACCAACCCCCAAGATTTTTTCAAGAACATCAATTCTAAAAAAACAAAAAATGAAAGTGTAGGTACACTGGAAACAGATTTGGGTTTATTAGCTAATGAAGACCAGGAAAAAGCAGAAATTTTAAATAACATTTTTTCTTCAGTATATATTAATAAGGATCCTATGGCAAGAGATATGCAAATGATTGCTGCAAAAAACGTGCAAATAACTTGTGATTGGATAACTCGAGACAAGGTGCTACAGCTATTAAAGGACCACTCTAGGCACCCAGACCACTTCAGTTTAATGAAGTGGTCTGGGTGCCAGGTCCCTCTAGGATTAACCCCTTTTTTTATAAACATAGCAGTTTCATCGAAACTGCTATGTTTATAATAGGGTTAATCCAGCCTCCAAATCCTCTAGTGGCTGTCTCATTGACAGCCGCTAGAGGCGCTTGCGTGCTTCTCACTGTGAAAATCACAGTGAGAAGACGCAAGCGTCCATAGGAAAGCATTGTAAATGCTTTCCTATGAGACCGGCTGAATGCGCGCACAGCTCCTGCCGCGCGTGCGCATTCAGCCGAAGGGGAGGAGAGGAGGCGGAGAGGAGGAGGAGAGCTCCCCACCCGGCGCTGGAAAAAAGGTAAGTTTTAACCCTTTCCTCTCCCCAGAGCCGGGCGGGTGGGGGACCCTGAGGGTGGGGGCACGAGTATGTTTTCCTGGCACTATAGTGGTCCTTTAAATAAAATTAATGTAAATAAAGCTCCGGGGCCTGACGGTATTCACCCACGAGTCCTTGAGGAGCTAAGTGGGGAAATAAGTGAACCTCTGTATTTAATTTTTCAAGATTCTCTTGTTTCAGGTGTTGTACCGATTGGAGGAAGGCAGATGTTGTTCCTATATTTAAAAAGGGTTCAAAATCCCTGCCTGGAAATTATAGACCTGTGAGCTTAACTTCTGTAACTGGGAAAATATTTGAACGGCTATTAAGGGATAATATTCAGGAATCCATTGGGAAGAACGTTGTTATTAGCAATAATCAGCATGTTTTTATGAAACATAGGTCATGTCAAACTAACCTAATTGCATTCTACGAAGAAGTAAGTAGAAGTATAGATCAGGGTGTTGCGGTGGATGTGATCTACTTGGATTTTGCCAAGGCATTTGATACGGTTCCTCACAATAGGTTAGTCTTCAAACTAAAAGAAATTGGTCTAGATGAATATTCTTGTTCTTGGGTAGGACATTGGCTTAAGGATAGAGTATAACGAGCATAGGCGTGCGCACGGGGTGTGCCGGGTGTGCCTGGGCACACCCTAATCCCCGTGGCACGCCTATGGTTTGAGTCCTGCAGGAACAGCGTTCCTGCACTTTTTTTGAACAGGAACGCTGTTCCTGCAGGCACTCAGCGCCCCCCTGTCTCACCTCTTGCCCCTGTCATGGGGGGGGCAAGAGGTGATGGATTACCCCCCCATGCAGCTCAGCGGGCGGCGAGGGAGCTCTCTGCTGTCGGCTCTCTGCTCCCTCTCGCCGCGCGCTGATGCCGGGAGCCGGAATATGACGTCATATTCCGGCTCCCAGCTGCAGCAGACAGCCCGCGCGGCGAGAGGGAGCTGAGAGCACACAGCTCCCTCGCCGCGCGCTGAGCTGCAGAAAGGCGCCCGCCCCCACTGGACCCCAGGGAAAAGTCCACCAGCACTCCAGGTAGGAGGCTGGGTGGACATTTTTTTTTTAAAATTGAAATATAATAATTTGTGTGTGTGTGTGTGTCAGTGTGTGTTTCTGTGAGTGTGTGAGTGTGTGTCTGTGAGTGTGTGAGTATGTGTCAGTGTGAGTGTGTGTCAGTGTGAGTGTGTGTCTGTGAGTGTGTGTGTGTGTCTGTCAGTGTGTGAGTGTGTGTGTCTGTGAGTGTGTGAGTATGTGTGTCTGTGTGTGTGTGTGTGTGTCTGTGAGTGTGTGTGTGTGTCTGTGTGTGTGTCTGTGAGTGTGTGTGTGTGTGTCTGTGTGTGTGTCTCTGTGTGTGTGTCTGTGGAGTGTGTGTGTGTGTGTGTGTCAGTGTGTGTCTGTGAGTGTGTGTGTCTGTGAGTGTGTGTGTCTGTGAGTGTGTGTGTGTGTCTGTGAGTGTGTGTGTGTGTGTGTCTGTGAGTGTGTGTCTGTGTCTGTGTGTGTGTGTCTGTGTCTGTGTGTGTGTGTCTGTGTGTGTGTGTCTGTGAGTGTGTGTGTGTGTGTGTGTCTGTGAGTGTGTGTGTGTGTATATATATATATATATATATATATATATACACACACACACGCGCGCGGCGTGTGTTTGTGCTTTAGGGTGCACACCCTAATGCAATAGGCTGCGCACGCCTATGATAACGAGTTGTCATTAATGGTAATTTTTCAGGCTGGACAAAAGTGGTAAGTGGTGTCCCTCAGGGTTCTGTTTTGGGACCACTTCTATTTAACATATTTATGAATGATCTTGAAATAGGCATTGAAAGCCATGTATCAGTGTTTGCAGATGACGTAATAAAATGTGAGCAGGATATTGCTTTGCTGCAGAGGGATTTGGATAGATTGGGGGACTGGGCACTAAAATGGCAGATGAAATTTAACGTAGATAAATGCAAAGTTATGCACTTCGGGGTTAAGAATGCACAAGCAACTTACACACTAAATGGTAGTAAATTAGGGATAACCACACACAAGAAGGATTTGGGAATTGTTATAGATAACAAATTAGGCAGCAATATGCAATGTCAATCTGCAGTTGCTAAGGCCAGTAAGGTTTTGTCATGTATAAATAGGGGCATAAATTCTCGGGATGAAAATATAATTTTGCCTTTTTATAAATCGCTGGTGTGACCATACCTTGAGTGTGCTGTGCGCCTTTGGGCACCTGTTCTGGGGAAGGGTATCATGGCACTAGAAAAAGTCCAGAGATGAGCTACAAAATTGATAAAAGGAATGGAGCATTTTAGTTAGGAAGAAAGGTTAAAAAAATTTAATCTGTTTAGTTTGGAAAAACGGCACCTGAGAGGGGATATGATAACTTTATACAAATATATTCGGGGCCAGTACAAACCTTTATCTGGAAATCTATTCATAAACAGGGCTAAACATTGGACACGAGGTCACACATTTAGGCTGGAAGAAATGAGGTTTCATCTAAGGCAAAGAAAAGGGTTTTTTTTACAGTAAGAGCAATAAGGATATGGAATTCTCTGCTTGAAGAGGTGGTTTTGTCAGAGTCACTATAGAAGTTTAAATTGCAATTGGATAAATACTTACAAAAACATAACATACAGGGATATAATTTCTAATTAGTGGGGTAATAGCTGCTTGATCCAATGAGACATCTGACTGCTATTTTGGGGTCAAGAAGGAATTTTTTACTAGTTTGTGGCAAAATTGGAAGTGCTTCAGACTAGGTTTTTTGCCTTCTTTTGGATCAACAACAACAACATAGGTGAGGAAGGCTGAACTTGATGGACGCAAGTCTCTTTTCAGCTATGTAACTATGAAACTATGTATTTTTATCAGCCCAAATCTGGGTTAACAGTACAGTTCAGACTAGTACTCATAAGCAATAAGTAGGCCCACATGGATGCCTCAGGAACACTTTGCAAGACCTGGTATCGCCATAGGTGATTGGTCAGACAAGACATGGTGTGGTAGACCTCAAGTCGAATAACTAGCAGCTTTCAAAATTTTACAAAATAATAGGGGCGTGCTTTGCAGGGTGTATAGACCCAACAAATAATATCAAGAATCAGTCCATATGAACCCTCTTGGGAAGTGGAAAGCTCTCAGGCAGGAGCTGCAGAAGTTGGCATCCATTCAGCTCGACGGCAAGGCCCAGCTCCCTCAGTGGATTTTTCCACTTTGGCTATTCTGGTCTAAAATATGAAATTCACTTTGATTTCCCAGCAATTCGTACTTTACAATTGGACAGGGTGCAGATCGGTACTGGTAAGAGGGCATGAGGAGTGTCACCAATGATGTCACACACACACATAATGCAGTCACACAGCTGTCTGCTTATGATGAGAGCTGTCTACTTAAGGAGGCTGTCTGTGTGTGATGGTCAAGAATACCTGTGTCATTGTACACACCATCGCTCTGAATCCTGTAAGGCAACATAGGTTATTTCCGCATAACTCCATTACGTTCCCTCTTGGAAGAGAAAGTATGGACATAGTAGGTGCCAAAACCTGTGTAAACAATGATGAAATTAAAAGGACTGGCAGCAAGCAGATGAGGAGATCACAATGTAGGATTTGTTTACTTGACTCTGTATTGTAGAGAGTTGAAAAACGTTTTGTAAAATTAATGCTAAAATGGTCAATGATGTTGAGAAAGCACCAGAAATGTAGAAAAACGCGTCCAGGGCTTCTCTAATCTTTCCGTAGGGTCTGATTCTTTGGTTTTCTCCTGTATAGCAGCTGTGGATGGTCCTATGCTCAGGTTTTGGACCTTTTATACTTTGTTCACTCATAACTTTTTTTATTTTTTATTTTCACATGCTTGGACCAATACAGCATACATGAGGACTGCTGTTCTAGTACCTTGCCATATGTATTTTTATTTTTGACTTCAGAAATGTGCATTTTTTTTCTATGATTTCTTCCTGATGTATTTTGGGGGATTCCTGACAAACTTGTCCTGTGCTAAAATGGTCAAGCTCTGAGGGGAATTTTTCTGAATCAACACATTTTGCCTTCATTTTGCAACTCGCTACACTGCAAAGTCAATAAACCCCTGTATGCATGTAAAATGAGTGGGCTGTCGGGGTCAATTTGCTTGTAAATTCCAGTGACTGACAAAACACTAATATGGTACTGTGCAAATGTGAACATTTCAAATTGAAGCTATTTATTTATAAATGAAGCTGGAAGAAAATATGTAAAAAATAAAAAAAAATAAAGTATTGTCATGCCAAAAGCATGAGTTGGAGTTGGATGTGTGTTGATATATGTTAAGAGTTGTTTTTTGTAAACCTTGGGATGACATTTATTGTGGTCTTTGATCTTGTACCAGGCCTAGACCATAAAACATCTAGATAGCCATCACCAGAGCTGGACACAAGGAATTTCATAGAGTGGGCAATAGACTGCCAGACCAACCCCCTCTGATCCCCCCCCAGGGGTCTGCCCACTGAGAAACAACTAGTTTAGATATATGAGGGTGTTGGACTATCCAGGGAGTTCAGTTATTCATTTTTCTTTTGTCAGCAACTTCTAGGAGACCTATACCATCTAAGACTCCCACAAGAATTATATATGGGGTAACTACATGTAAGGAATTTCTTGTGTTTTCTCCTATTTTATTTTATGTACTGTTTTGCAATTTGTTATCTGTATGTCATTTATTTCTGTATTTTGTACTCAGCACTGTGAATCTTTTTTGTCAGATTAAATGTTTACTTAATCAGCTTGTGTCTCTGTTCTCTATGAGCTTCACTCTCCAGAGGAAAGCTCAGGTAAACACGTTACCAAAAAGGGTTAATTATATGTGTTTGATCAGTAAAAGTAGAACTGTGATTCTATAATTCTCCTGTCTGTGGGGTAAACTAAGACACCCGGGTTTAAAGTCTTGGTGGTGGCAATAAAGTGTGTACTAGGGGGTTAGTGTGGAAGGGATTGCAGGGGTTAATTGAGTGGTTGCTGTGACTAGCAACAGTTAACCAGGGTTCTGGTGTCATTAACCCTGTCACTTCCACACTCTCCCCACTGTCTCGGCTGGGCCTATAGCCCACGCTCATGACAAGTATTATATAACATTGATGTAAACAGTGTCTCATAAGAAGTGTTTTTTAAAACATTATATAGCACCTAACTGCTGATATCACATGTTAATATTTATCCAATCTGTTATTCTGCGGGGTTTTTTTTATTGACTTTATAAAATATTTATAGGCTTCCTTAGCAAACAGGTGGCAGTTAGCATTATCATCCAACAACATTCTCCTCTTCCTTGCACAGCTGAATGCTGGGAAACTACGTAATTGATCACAATCCAATGATGGTACTGAGAGCATTTTCCGAACCTCAGAACTGCATCCACAATCCCCCAAAATTTAAGACATTATTATTGGTCCAAGCTACTTTTTTTTGTTCCATTATGTACTCTGTTGTTGATCTCAAGTGCTTGGTGCCATATTCATGCTCGCACCCGTACGGCCAACTCGCGCTTGCAGGACCTCTCGCGGGCGGCTCGTCTCCTATGGAATAGCTTGCCTACTGCCATCAGACTCTCCCCTAGTCTTCAATCATTTAAGAAGGGCCTTAAAACCCATTTCTTCAGGAAAGCGTATGGCCTCCCAGAGTAATCTCTACCTTACATACCTGTCTCCTGCTCTCTCCAATGGGACAGTGCTTTGCTCTCTCCTCCAGCTCTGCTTCACTCCTACTTGATATTTCCTGTCCTAATGTTTCTAATACCCCACCTCCTATAGTCTGTAAGCTCGTTTAGCAGGGTCCTCTTCAACCTATTGTTCCTTTAAGTTTTCTTGTAATAGTCCTATTTATTGTTACATCCCCCCCTCTCAAAATATTGTAAAGCGCTACGGAATCTGTTGGCGCTATATAAATGGCAATAATAATAATAATAATATTCATAGCGTGTGGCAAGGAATGAACAGATATCCTCTCTGTCCTTGCTGAGCAACATGGAAAACCCCAATGATTACACAAGATATACCAAAGATAGCTTTGGCACTATATATACAAATATGCATCTGACACATGAGGTCCTATCTCTGCTCCAGTCCCATTGTACATAAACAAAGAATGAGTTCCATGTGCTCCATAACCTACAGGCAGTGAATTACCTGCCTGACACCAAGACGTTAGCTGTTACAACCTGATTACCTTCCGTTCAGTTTTACATTTAAACAATAACTCAACAATAACATAGTAAAATAACTTAATAAATAAATAATAACTTAATAAAATAAGTTCAGCAGACAAAAGAAGTCTCTGGGACCAGGCCCAGAATCACAGTGATTATACTCTTTTGGTGATGAGGTGAAGGGGTACAATGCTGGTTTAATTGTAATTAGATCCAGGTCCATGAAGCACCTAATCCAGCACTGATGTATTAAGGTCAAGTACACAATTTCACAACTAAGTATTTCTCTCGCACCAGTCCTAATTTAAGTTACCAAGTTAAGGCTGGCCCAAGAACTAAATGCTGCCCCCACTCACGTCCTCTTCAGACACCACTTCACATACCCTAATGTCTGACACATATCTAATTCACCAACCACAATCAATAAACGTATATAACCAGTCATGAAGGCAGAGAGGGGCCGAACCGTCAAGCAGACAGAACATTATATAATGCAGCTCCAACCAACCTCCAACCTTCAGCCCCAGCAATACAGAGAGGCCAGCAGAGGGCCTGTGAAGATGCCGATGTTTTGGTCCTACTCACTGATGCAAGCCTGCTGCCTACTAATGGAGACTGGAGAGATCCTGCCTTTCTTGAGTAAAACATCCCCACACAGATGTATGTTGATCTCAACTCTCAATGATAGCCAGTGGGGATCATACTATGGCCCCACTCCCCCCCCAGGCCCATGGAGATTGCTGTCTCTCACCTGACCGGCTGAGTATTTCTGAGAGGCACATATGCCTCGAAGGGGCTTCCGACCTGCTGGTGTTTCCACCAGTTGTCGAAGTGTTGAAGTTGTCTAAGTCGTTGAAGTCGTCGAAGTGGCTGCCATTCGAATACCGAACACGTGGTGGCGGCCATTTTTTTTTTTATAATTTATTTTTTCAATGACAGAGAAAAAAAAGCACTGTGCAGTCATATGGCTTACGCAGAAGCCGCAATGTGG